TAGTTCAAAATAGTTAAGTTATATATGTTATAATTGTATAATAATTATATATGCCCACCTATACTAAAGATCAACCTCAGTTTGCATAGATTGTAGTTTCGTATTAAATGCGACATATAAGAAATATTTAAATCTTGTCTTTATCAACAAATTTGTTGAGGACCATGACCATGAACTAAATGACAGCAAAATGCTTCAACAATTTTTATCACTATTAAGAAAAATACCTACACATATAAAGGAGGAAATTTAATTTTATATTCAGGAATGTTATTTTGGAGTGGATGTTCTTAAGAAAATATTACGAAATAAATTTCTTGACCAGGAAATTTATAACCAGGATCTTTATAACTTGATAAACAAGTTTAAAGCTAACACTCAAACCAAGAACGATGCTTTAACTTTATATGAGCACTTATTAAAATTACAACAAGAAAATTCAGATTGATATTTCAAAATCGATTTCGAGAGCATTGATAACAGACTTTCAAGGATTTTCTGGATGTCTCCCAAACAAAAAAAACTGTGAGCTCGATTTTATGATGTTGTCATCAATGATAACACATGTAAAACTAACAAGTATATGATGCTCCTAAGCATCTTTATTGTAATTGACTCGGATTAACGAAGTCACATTGCGGCAACAGCTGTTGTTTGTGATAAGACCGTAGAATCATATGAATAGATTTTGGAATAGACAAAATTAGCTACAAGCAATCTCCAACCAACAACTATTTTTACAGATGTGGATCTGATGATGCAATTAGCTATATCTAAACAATATCTTGGAACTATAGTCCAGTACTGTACATTTCACATTCTCCAAAATTTAATTAAAAAACTTAGAAGAAAGCTTGGTAATAAATGGGACAAGTTTATTTCTGAGTTTTATTTATTACAAAACTTACTTGTAATGTCAGATTTCGATCATCATTAGATAGAGTTGATGGATAAATATCCAGAGGCTCAAAAATATTGTAATAGTGTTTTGTATTTAACCAAAGAGTGCTGGGCATATGCATTTACAAAATGAAAATTTTCAGCAAATACCCATTTAACACAATGTGTTGAATGTGTTAATCGAATTATTAAGCTAAAGGCAAATTCAAGAAATTCTTTATGTCAACTTCAAGCTAGCATTGAATTGCACCTGAAGGATAAAACAAAATATGCAAAGCTGCAGAAATTTAGAAATATGAATCCAACAACAGGTCTTCCCCACATCTCCAATACTATTTTTAAAGGCATTAATGATATGTGTAAGAAATATCTTACACCAAATTCATTAGCATTACAAAGAAAACAAATGTTAGAGTGTCTTTTATATAGATGTTGGTTATATGTTAATGAATTTGATATCAATACGGACCAGGTTTTTTTTTTTTTTTTTTTTATAATTTGGTTTGTCTTACTACGACTAATAATCATAAATACTATGTGACTAGAAGAATTATAATCAAGGATTTATAGAAGATGATTATGAAGAACCACAAATATTATTAGATATAGCTTTAGAAAACTGTAGCAGAAGTAACGTGAATGAAATTTGAGAAGTAAAACATATCCAAAGCACAACAAAACATTCACAATTTGTCATGCTGCTTGACGATGATTCACATTATTGCATGTGTCTTTATTTAGTATATGCTAGATTTGTTTGTCAATATTTCTTTGCTGTAATGATTCAGTCAAAAAAAGCATGTTTCAACATAAAGTTAATACCGTCTCAGTGGTATTCTGAAGAAGGTCTTGTAGCTAATAGCAATCAAGAATCGTCTATTCAAATTATACAGAATGAAGATAAGCTTCCTTTAATTGAGACCTTTCATATACTAGAAAGAATTTGTGGACAAGAAGTTACTAATAATGTTTCTGGAGAATCGGAGTCAAAAAAAGCCTCTTACAGCCGTGGTCTTGGGCTTTGTAAGAAAGCTTTAAATATAGCAATTACGAATGGCTCTAGTCTGATTTTAGAAGATCTTTTACAACGGTTTATTAATAAGCAAGCAAAAAGCAAAAATATTTAGGAATTATCCGAACAAAAATTAGATCAAGAAAATGATAACTTTAATATTTTTGATCCATTTTAATATAAGGGTAAAGATTATTCTGCAAACAAGAGGTATTTATCAAGTATCAAGAATTATGATGCCAAGAATGTCAACTTAGATGAAAGATTAATAAAAAAGAATAAGCGTTAGTGTGCTGCATATAAATCATAGTATCATAATTCACAGAATTGTTCTTTGAAAAAGAGTGAAAGTAGTGAGTAGAATCTTTATATTGAATTTATGAATCTATACAGTCTAATATATTATGCAATTGTAAATTTTAAATTGTTGTATCTAGATTTATGTGAAAGAATAATATTTTATGTAGGTTCGTGTATATAGTCATGCAAAATGTTATGTTAACTTTAATTGTATTAGCAAATTTACAGATATTTTATATAGCAATTTACTTTTGCAAAGTGTAGATATCAATTAAAAATTTTAGTCACATATAATCAATATTTGAATTTTATATTTGTAAGTTGAATTTGAATTAAAATTCATATTTTAAGTCCAATTTAAAATAAACTTGAATATGTTACAGATCAAATAGGTTTTTAGGTCGAGTAAACTTGATCTGGATCAAATTGATCCCTAGCAGAATTTTAGAGTTAGAGTAGACTGGAATTGTATTGATGCTGGCCGGGGTATTTTAATTGATCAATTTGACCTGAGTCAAGTTTAACTTGACCTAAAAACCAATTTGACTAGTAATAAATATAAATCTTTGATTCAAGTTTAATCTTATATTAAATAAAGCTATACTGGGTATACAATATTCGTATGTTTAACTCTTAAGGTAACTGTTTTAAAGTATTAAGATAATGCCCCAGGGCGTTATTTCGAGATAATATGGTATGATTTTATTTATTTGCGTGATTAATATAAACCAAAAAAAGAAATCGAATTTTGTAAATAAACTAAATGTAAAAAGATATAAATTTAGGGTTAGGATGTTAATATTAAAGATGGTATATATAAAATTCTATTCCTGATATTTTTAATTAATACACTAAGGTCGATTTAAGTATTAGTTTCATTTCTTTGTATGCAACAAATATGCATAAATTAATGCATACATATGTATATGTAATCGAAGTATATGTATATGCTGTGTGTAATAGGAAAATATGCTGCTTGTATAACTCAAATGTAGTACTTTGTATTATCTGGATATAACTAAATATATTTTTAGGCTGTATATTTTGTATTATCACGTGATCTAATTGCTTTAAATTTGATTAGTTAATTTAGGTAGAATATTAATAACCCCTGGTAATAATTATATTTAGTCTAAAAATAATATATTAAATGTAATATAATTTTTATTTTATAAAATTTTTTTATCTTTTGTATATAGGCTAGATGCAGGCAAATTTGCTTGCAAAAAGTTATATAATATTTTTTAAAATAAATTTTTTTTTTTTTTTTAATGTTAAGGTGAACTCTTTGCTTTTTTTTTTTAAATGTTAAGATGACTTCTTTGCTATACTGCTTTTTATTCGAATATCAGTAGTATTTTTAATTGTTAGAACATTCTGATAGCTGTATATATTTGTAGAGTACAACTAGCCATACCTGCGTCTTTTGAGTGCCTATTTAAGTAGTCTGCCTATCATTAGGTTCTACACTAAATGCTGTACTTGCACCCCACTAAGAGGGTTACCTATTTAAACTCTCTGCGCCTATATACCAACCCTTTTATATCCAAGTGATGATACTTAGTATTACCTTATTTTCATATGCTGACTTAGAGCTTTAAAGTGGTCTCTACCATCTAGGAAGTCCTTTGACCTCAAGGTAAACCTGCTAAAGCCTTCTATACTTACGTTTAGGCTGATCTAGGCTTTGGTAACTTATGCCTAATTTGAGAACAAATACTTGCAAGTTGAAGCTGCTACCATCATCTACTTTTGTCCTTATAGAGTTCACTTATATCCCAGCTCTGATACTTATCTAATCAAGGATCTCTTCTACTGTTTAACCAAACTTCCAATCCAGATAGTTTGGTTTGGTCCATAAGTTATGTTACCTACTTTCCTATTGGCTTAACTCAGATATTGGCCTGTGCCCTTTTCCTCTGGTCAATTTTAGCAGCCTGGTTAGTATAATGTTTACCAAATATCTGGTCTTTGTCCAGATCTGTAACTTATTGGTTTTTTTTTTAGACTTTCTAGAATCATCGAAAATATGCACTACTTCTCTACTTGGGACTTGTTAAGTGGGTTTCCATTCAGGACTAGTCCAACAGATTTACACAAATACAGAGACTTATCGTAGGTTTACACCACCTTTTTATCAGTTTGTATCCCTTCATATAACTACTCTATTATATAAATACTCTATAATCTTTCAAATTTGTACTACCACCTCTGATTAGGGCTTGTGAGATAAGCCATCTGTTAAGCAATCATTACGCCTTGCACCTATTTGGTCTGACCATTATTACAGGATTTACATCCTAGCCTCTGAATAGTTATCATTATACAGAAGAATTTGATTTTTCGTTGTTGATGGAAATTGAACTCTGGATATGCCACTTGGGGGCGATAACTTGACCACTTCACTAAGTCACCACACCTCTGTAAACTCTTTGCTACACTGCTCTTTATTCAAATATCAGTAGTATTTTTAATTATTAGAACATTTTGACAGCTGTACCTATTTGTAGAGTACAACTAGCCATATCTGCACCTTTTGAGTATCTATTTAAATATTTTTACACTAGATGCTGTAAATTTTTAAAAATTTACTAATATTTTTATAAAATATATTCTTTTAGACTTTATTTTTATAAAATATATTCTTTTGAACTTTATTTTATATTAAAATATAAATTGTAAAAATTAATTGTACTTTAATTGATAATCCACTAATCAATCAGAAAATTATCTATATTAAAATATAATGCAGATCACATATAAGCAAGGTCCAAATTGCAATTTTTAGGTTATAAGTAAAATTGTAAAATTTTTAGATAAATATAGGACTTATATAGCACAAATAATAGAGCAATACCAAAAGCTTTTAATTATAAAGTTATTAAATATTAATCTTTTTTTTTTTAGTGAATTTTACTTTAGAAGCATACAGCATTTACTATGTTGAACTTTATATTAATTAAATTTATAAATCTAACTAAAATCTTTAATAATACCTTCATTTTAGCTTATTTTATAATAAACTTATAATTATTTTTTAATTTTAGATTTAAAAAGTAAAAATACAAAGTATAAATAAGATTTGCAGCTTAAATCAGGAATATGGTATACTGAAAAGCTATATAATACTTGCGGCAATTATAAAAATCATGCTTAAAATAATCAAGTTTATTTCAAAGTTTTTTTTTGTTTACTATTTTTTTTTAAATATACTTTCACTAATGTTTTTAACTTGTTCTTGACTAATCTATGGAAAATGTGCTTTAATATATAGTTTGGTATTGAACGTTGGTATATATGAAACCTAAATGCCTTATTGATCACAAATATAAGCGTGATAAGAAGTCTAATGTCTCTAGCTTTGGAGTAGTTCTCTAGAAAATTTCAAGCGAAAAACTACAGTTGCTTACTATTTATATATTCCAAGAAAATAAAGAACTTGTAGAAGGTACACCACCTCAATATGATTACTACTAAGAGAAAACCTGCAATCAGGCTTTCAATATTCAGTTTGTTTACTGAGTGCCGTCTAGGAAAAATTTATAATTGGCTTTAATTATAGTTTGTAACAACTTATCACAGAATATTATTAGAAGCTTGATGATAGATTTCTTCTTGATGATGCTTAGTAAACAAACTGGACATTGAAGGCCCGATAACAAGTTTTCTCTTTGCAACACTTATATATTAAATTTTACAAACAATTTAGAACAGTGATCCTGCCCTGCAATCGTCCAGAACAAAATTAATTCTCAAAACTTAATTCTAACAAAATTTTGAGTCAATATAATTCTAGTGATAATCTATCTGCACCTGTAAATTTACTTGATGTTATGATTTCATTTCTACTTTATTTGTCTGATATAATAAATTCTAATGAAACTTTGGGTCGATACCATCCCATTTATGCATCAATTCAAAATAACAATACTCTTTCAAGTCAATTTATTTATCTGATGCAAAATTAAAAATTTCGGCACAAGATTTTAGTATTGAAGATATGAGAAAAGAAGCATACAAATGTTTTAAGAACAGTAAGTTTCTCAAAGCATTATACTATACTAAAGCATTATAGACTAAATGATATGAATGGTATTATAGAATTTGCTTAGCAAATAGCATCTGGGCTTCTTACGCCTCTAGGCCTTAAAAATGAATTTAACCGGACTAGCATTATACTATTTGAATCTATTTTGCTGAAATAATAACTTAACCGGATCGACTGAAAAATTATTTAGCAAATTTTCACTAGTGTCCTAAGAATTATGATAATTGCTATATAAATTTTTTTTTATTTTTTAACATTTTTAAATAATATATGACTGCATTCCCTATTTTATTATTAGATAACTTTTCTTATTTCTGCGAGTAATAATTTCCTTTTATTAAAGAATAATATTTGGGAATGCCCATAGCAAAAGGAGAGATGGGACTATATATTATATAGTCTCATCTCTTCTTTTGCTATAAGCGTCTCCATTTATTGAAAGAAAGTACTATTATAGGCCTGAAAAAACTGTCAAAGCTACTTGTTGGTTATTCCTAATAAGGAAAAATTATTGGTAACCCTAAAGAAAATTTGTGCCTCTTGAAACCCTAGCTAAAATTAATTTGGATATTGCAACCATAGCTGACATAGAACCAATTCTAAATTCCTTTAAAAAAATTTAATTACAGAGTTTGAAAGTATCTAATAACATCTATATAAGTGTGATCAAGGAACAACCTGCCATCAGGCTTTCTATTATATTTTGTTTCAAACTTCAGGACTTATCCATTAAAAATCTGATTAGCAACACATTATATTATTATATG